AAGGCTTTGTGGGTAGGTCAGAGCTTGGGATAATAGATATGGAAGTTAGCATCATATAGCTGGTAGTTATAATTGCCAGAGTAAATGAAATTACCTGGGGATAGTTGTGGAGAGAAAAAATAGTGGACTGGAAATGGTAACTTGAGGAACACCAATGTGTAAGTGATGTGGAGAAGTCCATTGAGGAGATGGAAGAAAAGAAGTCTGAGAGGTAGAAGAAGAACCAGGACAGGGTAGCGTCTTGAAAGCTCTAGTGGAAATCATGCTATGCTCACCAAATCCAGTTCCTTATTTCTCCTTAGGCACATGGAAAGCTCCAGTTTTCAGACGCCCCTGAGGCTAATCAAGGACATATGATTAGTTTTAGCCAATGGAATAGGAAAGGAAGTAATAGGTTTGCCTGAATCAGAGAAAAGCCCCTTAGAGACTTTCTGGCCACTCTCCCCTGCCTCTGTGAGTAGGCAAGCCCCAGAACAACCCCTAATATGCTTCCCTCCCCCATACCCACTGAACATGTAGCGTCCTCGAGAAATACACCTCTGTTGTATCCCACTGAGACTTCAGGATTAATTAGACCCTCTAACACAGCCTAGCCTATCATGACTAATACAAAAGCCAAGACAGTAGCACACGTGGCAGAGGAGAGAAGAGTCACAACAGTGTCATCCACACTGTTCCAGAGTCCCAGAAAAGAGAACTTTCCACAGATTTCCAGATGTGGAATTATTTAGAGCCAGTAAGTCCAAACACTTTAGGGGGTTTCAGTTATAACAGTCTGACAGAGATTCTGCAGTGTCTTTGGGGTTTAGCTAACAAATGTGTTTGTCAGATTAATAAAGCCAGTAGAGTTAACTTGAACTGGAAACTGACATCACAACACATATACACATTACAATATATTATACTCGTAGTTTGACTCGAAATCTTGAGATGATGATACAAATGCTGATTGAGTTGTCTTTGCCTGAGTTCACCATTTGTTTTGCAAGAAGGGCAGTATTAATATTTTCCCCTTAGTGCAAGACATCTCAATTTCTAAACAACTTTTATCCTATATATTTAGTTCTAAAGTTGATTGTTTAGAATTCTGGCTGCCCTTTCCTGACTGCAAAGAAATAACAAAGGGTGATTAGTTTCCCAGGCCAGATCCTACAGCCTATTTAACCTACAATGTGGCTAGACAAGAAATACGTATTATTTCAGGACATAAATACGACTTACATTATTGATTCTAACCAAGGAGAAGCAAACTAAATGTCATTTTACGTAAGGCACAATAGTAGTCAAGTAGGAAGCTGTGCCAGGTATATATGCATTTTATTTGAAAAAGGAGAAGGTCAAATTCCAAAAGTGCATTGATGCATAATAATGGAAGTCCAACTGACCCAAATGCACACATCTAATCATAGATTCCAAATATTTGTATAAATAAAAATGAAACATCTTACGAGGCTAATAATTATAAAATGTTTCAGCTTGGAAAAATTAAGTTTAAAAATCACTTAAAATATAAAATATGCATGAAAACGAGGCTCTGAGTATGTAGCATTTCCAATGTGCTCCAGTCCTTCTTCCATATTTTTCCCATTTTAAAGGTTTCCCTAACATCTACAATTGGAATTTCTCGTGCCTTTTGAAGTTTTTCTTAACCTTTTAAAATATTTTTAAGAATAATACATGCTACCTACAGAAAACAAAGAAGATAAAAAATTCAAATATAAATGGCTTGTAACCACTAACCGTTCAGGTACCTATTGGTAAACTTCTTGTGCCTGTCGGACAGCCACAAAACTCAGCATCTTAACCCAACAGCCATTCGTTCCCATGGATCTACAGGCTGGCTAAGGTAACTCTGCTTCTCGCTGTGGCTTGCCAGGACCAGAGACAGGGATGGCCAGAACTTTTTCTAATGGTGATGTAGCACTTTTAGAAAGTGAGGCAGGTCTCATATGAGCTGTCATGGAAAGATCCTGTATTTACTTCATTGAGTTATAAGAGCAAGTTACAGAACAATATGCACATTGTTGGCTATGTATGCCTAAATCTATATTTTTACAGTACATCTATGTATGAAAAAGCCTCAAATCACCTTTAAAATGACACACACCAGACTGTTCATTGTGGTTACTTTTGAAAATGGGGTTGAAATTTGGAGGAAAGTTCTAAGGGCGGGGGGGAGACTGTGATTGACCTGTGTTCGAACTTTGTGTAACAAGAATTACACTACTATTAGCTTTGTCTAATGCAAAGCTTTGTCTAATGACAAATGTTTAAATGAGCCCAACAACAGAAATAAGCAGGTGTGTATTCCTCAGATAAAGTTACTGATGCAACAGAGAAAACCTGAAATTTGAGTGGCTTAACACAACAAGAACTTTCTTATGTACATAAAACCTGATGGGGTTTGGCAGAAACTCACTGCTGTCAGGTGACCCAGAGATCCAGGCTGTCTCCATCATCTCACATGGGCTCCCCATGTTTGCCGCTGAATGGAAGAGAGAGCACGGAAGTAGCACACTGACTGTCATGTGCCTTGGCCTGGAGGTGACAAACATGCCTCTACTCATGTATCGGTGGTAGGGGTTAGTCATATGACCCTTCCCAACTGTAAGTGGACTGGGGATGGAATTGCTCCCACATTGTAGGTGCTCCATCAAGAGCAACTCCCGCAATTGGTGGTTAACAACGACCTGTTCCCTTCTTGGAGGAATTTCTGAGAAGGCCAAATTTACCCTGAAATTCATCAATAATTTTTCTACTGCATACAATGTAACAGAGTTTTCAAATATAGGATTATATCTAATTTTCAAAAGGACCCTGTAATTCTTAGCAGGGAGAGCTCACCCCTTGTCCCTCAATAGCACCTTTCTGCGTGGCCATTTGCAATAACCTGTAGAATCTCAGTAGGCTGAGGATTTTCTCCTACCTTTTGGCGCGTGGTCAAAATCATAGCTACCCACCACGTGACTGAGCTCGCCTGAATACCTGAAGAGGTGCCATTAAACACACTCTGTAAAAACAGCATTTCCCTGGGACAGATATAGACAAGATTCACTGGAAGAATGGTGAATACTTTTTCCTTTTTATTGAGAGTCAGCATGTCTGTTAAGAACTCCAAGATGGGTTTTTAGAAATTCAGCCTCAGTAGACATTTGCTTATGCAGTGATTTCCTCAGTCCTTCCTCATCTACCACTTAGGAGGGAGGCTTTGGTTCTTGACCACTTAGTTAAGCTCACTCATCAGTGTGTAGATTCAGTGGCCACTTTCAAGTAAGATACTCCATTAAAATCCTACTGCAAATATCAGGTTGTTTCCCAAAAAAGGCCTCTCCAGCCTCAGAGTTATAAACAAAGGCCTTATAGATTCCATGCCAAATCAGAGTTTACATAATAGCTGATTTGGCAAAACACACACACACACACACTTTGAGAATGTGATGGAGGCACCTAGGGGAGGTGAGGAGGTGTCTAAACCTCACTGTCAGAATTACACAGAAGGGCAATTGCTGTCAGAGGGGGGCCAGGGGGAGGGATGGGAGCTGCAGGGAGTTGCAATGCTCTAAGTCAGGGGAGGGCGGGGGATAGTGGCTCTCTGTGCCACCAGGCGCAGGGGCAGCCTCCAGAGGAGGACACACAGGAGAGCTGGCCAATGGGCCAGGTCCCAGTTTGGTCATGAGGGCCACTGGGAAAGTCCCAGGGGAGGGAGCTGTCATGCAGGAAAGTGCCAGGACTGCACACAAGTGCTGGGACCAGGGCAGCGCCAGCTCTCAAGGGACCCTGGGGCGAGGGGCAGGAGGATCCTAGGAAAATGAACCCATGGCCAATCCCCAACTTGTCCTTGATTTTCATTTGCACCTTGCTTCTTTAGGCCTGCTTTTAGTACTTCGGCCACAGGGTCCTTCTTTCATTGCCTGAGAGCCATCATGGAATAGTGAGAAGAGAAAGTAATTAAGAGACACAAGGTTGGCCTCAGGCTGCGAGGAGCGGAACAGCATGGGTTCCAGAGGAACCAGACCAGACTCTACCCCTGGTTCTGTCACTTCACCAGCTATGTGAACTTGAGACTATTTCAAGTTCTTCATTTGCCAAGTGGGTTGGAGAAGCCCTGTCCTGTAGGACTGCTGGAACATATGTAATGTATGTGAAGCACCTGGCACAGTGACAGACAAATATTGGGTCTTTAAGAAATGGTAGTTATTATGCTTTTTTTCACACCAGAAGGAACTACCGTCATCTCTGAGAATTTTTTTTTTTGTCCAGGAGATGTCCGAGACTGCAGTGCTGTCTTCCTGAATGGCAGCTATGCCACTGAGAAGACCCCCAAGGGTCCTGCTTCAGAGAATGTATACATCACTGCTCTCACTTGCCCCCCTTCCTCATTGCTTTTTTTCAAACTTGTCTTACATGTTGGAGTTCATCACACCATCGTCCTTATATAACTGCTCTTACACTCTAAAAATCTACGTGCAGGGTCTTATCCTTAGCATCATCACTACTAACATACAACCTTCCAAAGACCAGATGCTCAATTAATGATAAGAATAAACGGGGCACAGAGCAAGGAATGTAACTTATTACTATTTTTTTTTAAGATTTTATTTATTTATTTGACAGAGAGAGAGACAGCGAGAGAGGGAACACAAGCAGGGGGAGTGGGAGAGGGACAAGCAGGCTTCCCGCCGAGCAGGGAGCCCGATGCGGGGCTCGATCCCAGGACCCTGGGATCATGACCTGAGC